ACAACAGAAACAGCTCGAGGAAACGGTACAAGCTATGAAACTAAGAGCCGCCGACAAAGAAGTAGATAAGCGGATCTGGCGAATAAGATGGGGTGAGCGCTTTCTTTTGGTTGGACGAGACAACCTCTTTCACCGAGCCGAAAAGTCTGCTATCGCTTAAGATAATAAGATAAATAGATAAGCGGGCTTACCACTTCATCTCTTGTAGCTGAATTGTATTCATATACATAGGATGTGGAAAGTTAGTAAATAAGCTCCGTTACGGGATAGTACTCTTTAGAAGACCCGTAGCTGGCCATAACTCGAACTGGGCATTCTAGGCCTGAGGATTCTTTACTGACTCGTCTGATGTCTCCTGAGCGTCTTCCCGTCGCGTCTGGTTCAAAAGGGTCTGCCCCCACTGAATCGGATGCTATTGCTCAATTGAATTGTGTAACCGAATCTCCTGTCTCCTTATCCATAAGCCCAGAGATCCGAGAGAATAGTAATACATAAGCCTAGCCTAGAATGCATAGGCAACAGAAAGAGAATGAATAGGAAGAGAAGACTAGAGAGGTATAGTAAGAAGAAGAAGAAAAATTTTCCAGTTCGAGAATAGGGAGCAACTAGGAGACAACATCCGAGTTAGCAACTTTCAAAGCAATTCGGTAAAAGAATCTTTTTTTCCCAGAGTTCTTTAATAAATAAAGACATAGGGTTGCCCAGAACAGTTCTCCCGGCAAGGGGAATCCTAGAGGAGGAAGAGGGACAGCGCAAGTTTTTACATTCATTCTTTCAAGTCAGATCTTTCCTCCGGTCTTTCTCTAAATAGCTTAGCTTAAACTTCAAAGCTTCCGAAACTCTATATCCTTATGCTCCGGTATGAAATCGCTCTTGATATAGGTAAAGTACAAGAAGTCTCGTGAACAGAAGTAGATAGGACTGTGTTGACTGAAGCTTTCGGTACCTAGCGCCGCGAAATCAGAAATGAAGAGAGCAGAGATCTAGCAACGAATTAGTGATCCAACTGGGCATCTTACGTATGAATTCGTTATCCAAGTATGGTGGGCTCTTGCCCTTTCTCCATAAAGGAAGAAGAAGCCAAGACTAACTCATTTAGTAGAGCTAAAGATTTGCATTTCCGATCATATTGGACTTTATGTTATGGCGAAGGGGTGCCAACAAGGCAAGACTGGAAACTGGAATGGAACTTTAAAATAGGTCCTACAATGGGGCTAAAGAGAGGTAAGAAAGGCAGGCTACTTAAAAAGGCTAAGGTGAAAAGCCAGAACTCTCAGCGTCTTGCTTGAGATCTTAGCAATCTGAACCGGCAGATCTCCTTACGTTACGTTAGATAATACTCTTGTCAACTTGAGGCGAGGATACGGCACAAAAGTATCTTTCAAAATCAACTTCTTTTCCGGTCGAAGCCATAGCCCGAGTGAAGGGAAGGCTCAAGCTTATATTATCTATTATGACTGTCCATCTTTGAACAACTAAGCCTTAAGGAGTTGAAGCGAATCATCGGCCAGCCATAAGAATGAAAGTTTAAAGCGTATCCCTACTCCGTGGTCAAAACTTGCAATCTAGGCCGCTTTGTCTAGTGAATTATGAACGCATCGGCATCAGGTCGGTATGCCTGCCTCAGCTAAGGAATGGGATTTTCCATGTAGCTGACAAATCCATTTATATACCAACAGGCGCTTCTGCTTTTGTTCTAGTGAGTGCTTTATTCCCTTACTCAACGTAATAAGAATCGGGAGAAAGAGAGGAACGCCGGGTTCACTTTCTCCCTTTTAGTGCGTAGTCTTTAAAGAATCCATAGGCCCATAACAAGACGTACCTGAAAAACTTCTTTCGCACCTTCAACCTCAACTGGACCAGGATTTAAAGATATCCCTTTATATGACTATATGATATGAAAAGATGAATAGGAAATCCCGCAGGAAGGCATACAGGAATGGGATACTACTTCAAAAAAGCCAGAAACCAAGCCTAGGGAGCCTGTGGTTGATAGAAGTACTTACTCTCTTTGGGAGGCAGTGTCTACAAGTCATAGAGTGACGGCTAATAAGCTAAGTTAGTATACTTAGACTAGCGGAGCTCAGCAGCTGAGGTTCTGCAAGAAAGGAAGAGTTCCCGTGTGAACAGCATTCGCTGTCATGCAAGAAAACGTTAACGTTAGCGCAGCTCAATCAGTTGCTTCCTCCGGGAAAACTAAAGAAAGACCCGGACCGCTCTTATCTTTGAACCTAATTTCTTCCCTTTTCGCTATCTACGAACCTCAACGAGGTCATCTATGGATAGAGTTCTATCGGCATCGCACCTTTAGAGGTATGACATAGAGGGCCGATGAAGTGGTAGCAAACTCTTCGAGAAGAAGCTTCTAGTGTTTTCGCTGAAACGCATCTTTTAATGACACGTACAAGGGCATTTTTTTCTAAGAGGATGGATACCGGAAAGGCCTTCAAAAGGCTCGCTACTATCGGTCTTTTCGCTTAATCAATACAAGATTTAAGTTCTTCCTTCTTCCGTGGATGCTGTTATCTTAAAAAGAAGGGAGTCATACAAGACTTTCTGTTTGTATCTGATCTAATGCTTGAAGCTTAAAGAGAAAGAAAGCCGTATGTATAGGGTGATCAACTCATCATACAAGAGCTAACTTCCCGACTCCCCTTTCCGACAGATGAAAGTATGGATACCAGAGGAGAGCTAGCCGAGAAGGGAAGAAAGTATTGAAAGACAGAACGGTATTCGTAGATGGATTGGACTTTAGGCAAGAGAGAATACTTATTGAGCACATGCTTCTGATTTCTATCTATATAGGATATGCTAAGCCTTTTCTTATTTATCTATCTAGGAAGCAGAGATATATTATTATTAATAGGTTACTTCGCTTGAGGGAAAGAGACAAAAGAACAGACCTTTCCTACGAATGTGAATCCGCCAAGTAAGAGGGGGAGGTCTAGCTTTCGTTCATAGCTGAGCTCATTGAACGACGACTGGACGCTGTAGCCTTTGATTTAAATAGTTCCCTCCCTATTTTTTATATTTATCATTCTTTTTTTGTAAATCATATCACATAGAAATATAGATTAGTAGGCCAGTTAGAGCACTGCTTCAACAAACGTAAAATACTCAATTTCAGATTTCTTCTTAGGTGCGATCGCCTTGTTCTTGGGGACCGGCTCAGACATCACAGATGGGCGCTTAGGGATTGAACCCTAGCTTTGCACTTAACTTCTCCGCGCTGGGGCTGTTACCGATAGCATCAACTTTTGCACTACTCCTGTTGACAGGAGTAGTGCAGACCCTGCTGTGACATGCCTTGATGCGAGGCTTTCCTTGGTTGCTTTATCTCACCTGTTAGAAGCGAAAGAGGAAGGTTTCTTAAGGGAACGAGGAAGGCCCGCTATCCAACTTACTTCCCATCAATGACTGCCGTCTTGTACTGATGTTTTTTAGTAGGTTAGTGATTGGTTTTTTCCGATTCTTATTCTTCTTATATCCGTTGCTCCACTCAGAATGTCTACTGGACAAGAGTTGGTTGGCTTTTATTTTATTCTTTCTCAACGCTACTAAAGAAATTCTTGCAAAAGAGCAAGAATTGGTTATATACTCTTTTGCGCGTTTCTTATTCGAACCTTTTGGTATGTATTGTCCCCTAACTATAGATCAGATCCACCAGACGAGAAACTAAATTCCGCACTGCTGCTGAGTCGTCGGACTTATTCCACCAAGGGATTCGTGGAATTTCTGTGGATTGCGTTGGAGGAAATCTACCAAAGCTAGGCAGATAGATAGACCCCTTTCCGCTGCTAAGGGAAAGCAAGAAAATAAAAAAGATTTAACCAGCGCGTCCCCTTTTGGGTATGCAGGTACTAAGAGTCTTCTCACTACCAACCAACAGACATCATCTGGCTGGGTCTTGCCGGTATCAACAATGAGAAAGAAAGAACCAAATGGAAACAGCAACTAACTATGGCTCTTGGCCCAGACAACGTCCTAGACGTAGGGAGATCGGAGCAAGAGGAACGCCTAGACGACGTTTTTATTCATTCCTGGGTTGCAGTAAGTAGATCGAGAAGTCGTTCCGCCCCTTGTCCCCAACTGAGGGTAATATATTCTCTTTAAATCTTGCTTCAATCTGACCTAGCTGGCGAGCAATCCCAGTTCGCGACAGAGAACAAGACAGCAACCGAGCGTACCTTTGTTCGCTTCTTCGTAACCAAGCACGAAAGTTTAAGGATAATTGTAGGTCGGTGGCTACCTAAGGAAACTCCGATTTGATCCGCCCCCCGGCTGGGAGGCATCTATCTCATCCCGATCACAAGGAGAGGTTCACTATGATGGGGGGTACTTTTTTTCCCTTCCGGAAAAAATGAAATGCGTAGGGGACCATCCTTTTGTTGCGGCATGCTCTTCAGATTTACGGATTCGAAGGGGGACTCAGGCCTTACTTAGTTGACTGACAATGACAAAGGCTTGCGAAACTAAGTAGGGCCCTTTCCTTTTTGTTTGAATAACCCATTCTCATTATCTTTCATAAGTCAAGTAAGGCAACTCTATAGGTCCTTAGTAGCGTTGACAAAGAATAAAAGCCGGTTAAAAAACAGCGAATCCTAAAATTTATATTATATCTTTTTTTTAATTATATTTAATTATATTATAGTTATAGGACAAGCAACCCTTCCTCTTGATCTGAGGTGCGAAGAGAAAGATCTCTTTTTTATGACTTCCACTTATCCATCTCGGCCCAGAAAAGCGACCGACCAGGGCCCTATTGATGAATGAAAGAAAGGGTTTATGAGCCCTAACCCTGTAAAAGCCCACACCTGTGTAGAGTATATCGTTCAACACCTGCGGCACAAACCCATTTTTGACCTATTGTTCCTAGTATCATAGGCGACCGAACGGCCGCCCCCTAATTTACTAGACCAACCTGCTATAATAATTCCATAAACACCTAGCGAAGATATGGCAAATAAATAAAGTAGCCCTATGTTCGAATCTGACAATACCATACCATAATCAAAAGGTACAACGGCCCAAGCGACCAGACTTAACATAAATGTAGTCACTGGAGCCATTCTAAAAAGGGAGAAATTAGCACTACTTGGTGAAATAGGTTCTTTTAGAATCAATTTCAAACCGTCTGCTAGAGGTTGTAACAATCCAAACGATCCCACTACATCAGGCCCCCTTCGACGTTGCACAAAAGCCATTACTTTACGTTCAGCTAGCACTAAAAAGGCTACTCCTAGTAGAAGTGGTAGAATTATTCCAAGTATTTCAGCTGGAACAGCTATGTACATTTTCGATTTTCTATTTACTCATGATCTGGACTGGGCGACCCAATCATGATATTGAAGAATGGGGCCTTTTCTCGAAAAACTCCGGATCTCGATAAGAGTTGAAGATGGTGCAACATCGAATCCTGTTACCTTACTTCGAATGGAATCTTAGCCCGCCTCACTTTCTTTACTGCATAAGGACATAAGCGAAGTCAAGTTGATTGTATTTCGCCTCTTCCTCGAGAGAAGATCAAACAATTCTTAATCACGGTCCTTGCGGGTCGGATCATCCATATAATATACAAAAAAACCAGATATTTGAGATCTTTCTTTGAAAAGATATCATAAGTTAATAGCTTCACTTCGTTCGTTCCGCCGCGTCTGCTTTCAATTCGAGTCTCTCTTATAATCTTCCTTATTATAAGCTGAAAGATGCTTAAGGGAGCTAAGTTCAAGATAGAGATAGAGAAAAGATAGCCCCTTCCTTCTTTGGCGATAGTTTAAAAGCGCACTTAAATATAAAAATCCTAAGACTTTTCGGTCGGGTCTCTCGTGTTAGTGTTTTAGTTATAGTAAGGGTGGTAGGAGATTGAGTGAAGTAGGGTTCGGTGAAATATTAAATAGAAGTAGTACATCCTTTCTAAAGTAAAGTATGACAGAACTCGTAGCCTTGTTGAAAGAGTCTCTCTTTCTTGTCTTTCTTCTCTCCTTACCCTTAAGAGGAAGAAGTCTCAAAAAAGCACATATACCTTTACCCCTTATGGGATTGAAAAGGAATCTTTTCTCTTCCCCCGCCCTAGTATAGAAGAGAGTCAAGCCAATCATCTAGCCAAAAAAGACACTCTCCATTCCGAACAAGAACAGCAATATAGTCATCTGTGTCATCCTACGCAAGTAATCTCCGTCAAAATTGTGAACCTGGTGTCATAAGATTAAAGTAATGCCTCGAGCCATATTTCGAGCGCATGAAAGCCGCCAAAGAGAATCTGTAGCTGTAGCCACGAACTTCCACCATAATTTCATAGATGCAGCAGCGAGAAAATCCGGCATACTACGCAAGCCAAGGCCATTTTCTTTAGTAGGGTAGCAAATCTTTTCCCAAGAAACCCAATGATGCTTGTGTCCGGTATCCGAGTGACCCCAGAAAAAATTGGCGAAGATTTTCTACATTTCTGATATAAGCGCCAAGTGCGTAATAAGGATGCAATTCCGAGGAAGGGCATATGGCACAATTAAGCGATTAGTTAACAAAGCATTCAAACCACGACTAAACGCTTTAGCCACAATAATAAAAAGAGAAGGTCTCTCTCCGTAAGTAAGCATTATGCTTGCTTATATACGGAATTAAGATTGCTGGACCAATGCTAGCAGTATGTGAGCTTACCTCCTTTGCTTGACTTCATCAAAACTTCTAAGTCTAGCAACTTTCTTCCTTTCAACCTATATAGCTCTACTCGTTCCAAGTATTACATTCTCATTTCGCTCTCTCCTTCGACTCTGCTCCTGCCTTTCTCCTTGCTTCTACCCTACGCCTCCTATAATAATTGATTCAGCTGCGCTTAGCTGATTTCTTTCTCAATCCAAACTTGCAACTTTCATCACGAAAGACGCTTTCTCGTATCTATTAAATTTTGACTTCATGCTCACTTCAGAAATGAAGCTAATAAGGCCTAAAGCTGAGCGACGAGTCCACTGGCATGAGAATCAAGCGAAGTAGAACGAAGTGAAGCAATAAGAAGTGAAGCTATTAGGAGTGTGCGAACGAAGCTTATAACTAGTAGCTCTAGCGTTAACGCAGTGTCCGGTGCAAGAGAGCTAAATCAGTTCTAGTTTGTAAGCCGCAAGTCAATCCTCTCTCAGTCCAAGGTACTATCCTCTAGACCGTCTTGTAGGAGATTGAGAAATTTTCCTTTGTCTCTTACCTGCTGCCCGGGGTCAATTCCTTTGTATCGAGGGCACCCGCATAGCCAATCCGCTCAGTAAGTCCCTTCATTTGGCGGTATCGTATAGTTGAGAAAGGATTCATTTAGGAGCGCTCTTTTCATCCAACTCGAAATATCGTAAGATAAGAAATATCGTAAGTAACAATAGCTTCTAATAGCTTCGCATCCTTCCCGGTCAATGTAGTGATTCAATTATGCTCCACCTATTTGTTAATGAATAGAATCCTTTTTTTCTTTTGAATTACTCATAAATTTCTTATTAATTTAATTTCGCACTGGAAACTATTCTAGGAGAAGTTCGAATCCGTTCCATTCGGATATTGATTGGTCTTGGTTTGACATGGTTTACGCGTACTGGTTCCCGGAAGAGTTAATATCTCCATTAGCTAAACCCTTTCTTAGCCTGCCTTTGGACTCGTATTTTGTTTGTACACAATCAACGGAGGCCTTCTCGACATATGTTGCAACGTCTTCAATAGCATGCTCTTACTTCATCTTTCCTTTAATAAGTCATCAAATTTGGTGCTTTTTGATCCCCAGCTGCTATGGTGAACAAAGGACGAAATACAATCGATTCCTCTATTTAAGTGGTTCTCGCTTTCCTTGTTCCTGTTCCTAACTCCCCGGTAGTTCCCAATGTTTGGCACTTTCCATACTTCATGGGTGCAACATCAACAAATTCGCTCATGATTAAATTACAACCTAAGATTTATGACCATATTATGTTAACTGTTCGTATTTCGTTCATTCCATCGGTATGCTCTCAGGTACCTGTAATTGTGATCCGTTTGCCAGAATCAAGGGGTCTTTCTGTAGAAACCTCCACGAACAATCGTCGTTTTTTGATGGTTTTTCCGCTTTTGACAGCTGCTCTTTCCACACCTCCGGATATCTGGTGCCAAATTTTCGCCCGTTTCCTTCTTTTTTTGATAATAGAGTTGGCTATCTCCGTAGCATCGATTATACAAGTTCGTGAAGAGGGCTGGACGAGTGGAATGAGGGAGAGCGGCTCGATCGACAAAAAAGAAGAGTACACCCCTTTGCCTTAGGAGTGAAATGAGGGCCGGCGAGCGCCGGCGAAGAAGGCAAGCAAAGCTGGAGCTCAGTGATATATTCCATCAAGAGAAAGGAGGCAGACTGGTAAGAAGGCCGACCACATAGGGTTCGCGAACTATTACCGAATATTCATCATTCAATACCCGGAACAGCCTTGAAAGACTTCCTCTTCGGCTCCAATTTCTTAGGGTCTGAGCTGCGGTCTTACCATTCGGATGCACACAATGCGGAGGGCCCTTCCACCGTTTCACGCATGATATGGTGAATCACTTACATGAGGATCAGAATACGGCTTATAATGGCCTAAAGTTCCCTTTAAGACTGTTTCAGATGAGATGGACTGTATATGGCGCCTTATACTGTTTCTTAGCTGCACCGGGTATAGACTCTGTTAAGACGAATTGGTCTTTTGGTATGAACACCCCTTATGTCTTAAGCAAGACTGGGGCCCTTCTTTCGAAATCCCGGGGACGAACTGGACTTTCACTTAGGAAAAGAGGAGATCTAGCTCTTGTTCATATCCCTCAGCTGCTATTGAGAGGAATAGATCCTTTCTTCTATCGAATTGGCTTCCTGCCTTTGAATCAAACGGAACGGAATTGAGATAACCCTGTGTAGCGGATAGCATGGACTTATTTCAATAACATACTTGTGCAATAGATTTTCATATGTGAAATGTTCGTATAGTGAATTCACGGCTAGAGATAGTACATTCTGGGTCGATCAAGGAAGGAAGCGTATACGGAGATTGAGTAGAGCATAGATTTAATAACCGGGCTTGGAAAAGAGAAAGAAAATCCTGTTCCGCGGGGGGCTGGGATCCGGGTCTAAGAGTTCTTCTTCCTTGTGGCTAGCTTCCTTTAGCTGCAATAACTATCTTATTTCTCCCTCTTTCTTACTTTAAGTACCGATCTTCTATCAAAGGAACCTTTCAAGAAGTGCCCTTGGTTTAGTCTCCAGTCTGCATTCTTCGCTTAGTGTCAATCTTTTTAGATTTAGAGAGTTAGACTCTTCGTAAGATAGCCAAGGTTCACTTTCATATCAATCAAGTAAAGGAGATCAAAGTTCACTCTAATCAATTGATCAACATTAGCTTAGCCAAAGGCTTACCGGCCCGACCCGCAGGTAACTAGGGCACTATTGGCCGATGGCTTTTCGTAACTCTTCTCGAACTGTATAGAAGAATTCGGGACTCCTGGCATTAAACGCTCTATCAAGAAAGCCCTCCTAACTCATGATGCATAACCGCCGGATTCGGATAACATGAAGGTTTTGGTTTTATCGATCTTCCTTAAAAACAGGGGGCATCAGTCTTTTCTTATAGCTTCACTTCCTTCGTTCCATATGAACCGGCTTTTTCTAATGAATAAGATAGGACTGACTCGAAAAAGCGCGTAATGCAAGAACGAGTAAGATATCTGCTCGCCGGCCAGACCGGATATCTCAACACTTCACATTCGAATAGAGGATGAACGACGAATCTTCAAGGTCGACCTCTATAGAATGGGTATCCGATATCCATCTTCAGCTTCTCCGCTTCGGGGTATAAAAAAAAGATGCCTAAAGTCCAGTAGCATAACTCAATGGGCCTATTCTTTTAAAGTTCAGTCAACCATCATAGAAAAAGCTTTCTATGGGAAGAAGGAGAGGGGGTACTGATCACTATCCAAACCCGCTACTGCAGAAGAAGAACCTCTTCAAGTGGGTTAGAGTTAGCTAGACTCTAGGAAAATAGACTTTCCTTCTCTATACGTACAGCCCATCTTACTATACGATGCCAAAGAAAAGAGGGAAGCGCGGAACTAGGACTGACTTTACTGGATGGAAGATTACTTTTCATTTGGCTTAGGAAGGGCCTTGAGTACATCCTGATAACCGCCTGTCTGTCTTGACATAAGAAAGAGTGCAGTAAGTGTCTCCGGACATAGAAAGTAGGCAATCGCTTCCCCTGTAAGGGAAGAGTACTTTCAGGTATCGACACAGACAGTGGGAAATCTCTATACGATTGAAGTCAGTGTGCAAGACAAAGTCT